GCCGGTCCCGGTCCGGTGCGGGCGCGACACTGAGGGTTGCGATCCGTTGCCGGTCACAAAAAAAGACAAAAAGGAAAAAAAAAAAAAAAAAAAAAAGAATTTGTTTTGGGGGCCGGCCCGGTGGCGCACTGCTACAGTGCACTGCTTGGGAGTGCGGCGGCGCTCCCGCCAAGGATTTGGATCCCACATACAGACTGGCCGCTCACTGGCTGAGCGAGGTGCGGGTGCAACGCCGAGGGTTGCGATCCCGTTGCCGGTCCCGGTCCGGTGCGGGCGCGACACTGAGGGTTGCGATCCGTTGCCGGTCACAAAAAAAGACAAAAAGGAAAGAAAAAAAAAAAAAAAAAAAGAATTTGTTTTCTCCACTTCCATAAAAGGTGAAACAAGAGAAAGTGGGTTTCAAAAGCAACAAGATACTTTTACTTAGACAAAAGACACATTAAATGAGGGTCGGGGGCATGTCCCCAAAGCCCTTCTGCACAGAACCAGGACCAAGTGGGACCCACTGCCAGCCCAGTGCATGGAGCACGGTGGGCAGATGTCACGCTGCAGTGCCCAGTGCTACTCCTGGCCCAGAGTGGGGACAGCTTGTGCTGTTTATACTGGCTCTCGAGACCAGCGTGAGGGGGACTGAGGGGGAGGGAGGAATGGGATGCCTGATGGGAGAAGAGGGTACAGGAAGCAGCCAGTCACACTGCTAGCCAAGGGGCTTTCTACTGGGGTAAACACATTTCCTACATTCTTCCAAATGCAGGTTGTCCAGGACCACTGGGGGCTCAGTGCTGTGGGCCAGCTGCAACAGCTCCCTTCCTCAGAAGAAAACCCCAGAATCTGAAACTGCACCTCTGACCCCTCAGGGCTGGGCTGTCTTTCTCCCCTGGCTCTTCACTATCTTCACTGACCTCAAGTGTGAGAATTCCAAGTCCCCATCCAGACAAACAGTTTATGGTATCCCTGTCTGCTCCATAGCACCCCAACTCTCCCAGAACTGCTTCAGAAAAAAAGGCTACAGAGCATGCAATCTCCCTTATTTTCACTCAATCTGTACCATCTCTCCTGCTTGGTATGGAAAGTTTAAGTGTCCAGGCTGCACCCAAGGCTGGCAATCACCAGACCATAAATAATAACTACCAAAACAATAACAGTTAACACTTGGTCATGTGGGCAGTGCCAGGCATAGCTGTAAACATATCACATCTATTATTGCCTTGAATTCTCCCAACCACCCAATGAGGCAGGTACCACTAACACACCTGTTTTATAGATGGGAAAACAGAATTTTTTAAAAAAGCTTCACAGAGTTTCGACACTCATTAGATGTGTACAAGTTTTACACAAATGTTCCAGACACGCATGAAGTGAGCACCAGAAGGAGAAAGTCAGAGGGAAACACCCTCCATATAAAACATCGCACATCACACGCTCTTCACTACACTCTGCCTTTTGTATAAGAGCTGGAAAATCTGAACACACATCTTTACTCAAATCTACTGAAAGAAATACTGAAAGGATAAACCAAAATCACAGATCAACAGTTACCCCAGGAGTATCAGGCACCAGATTGAAGATGAGCCTTCTTCGAACCTACCATGTTACTGGTTTTTGCTTTGGAAGCCTGTATGTCTTTTACCATTAAGAAGTTAAAACCTGGGCCGACCCCATGGTGCACTCGGGAGAGTGTGGCGCTGGGAGCGCAGCGACGCTCCCGCCGCGGGTTCGGATCCTATATAGGAATGGCCGGTTCGCTCACTGGCTGAGCGCGGTGCGGGAGACACCACACCAAGGGTTGCAATCCCCTTACCAGTCACAAAAAAAGACAAAAAAAAAAAAAAAAGAAGTTAAAACCAAATTAAAAGAAAAAGGTACAATCCCTAAAAATTCAAAATAAACTGAAACAAATGAGTTACATATCAAATTGGTGGCAAACCATCTACGGAGAAAAATTCTTTTGCATGGTCTTTGTTATTTTTTAAAAAAAGGAAACAAAAAACTGCATGTTCTCAATAGAAGAGATATATTTTAAGAACAGAGCTGTGAAGGAATCAGACTTTCAGCCCACACTTTGTTATTTGTGGTAATATTAAGCTGTTTATTCTGAAACTATTTTAAAGTAAGTAATTATGCTAATGATATCAGAAACCAAGATATAATAACAGAAAAGACACGTTTAATATGAAAGAAGTAAAAACCGTGTAAGGTTAAATTTGAGTTGGAAATATCTGTGCGAAATTATCGTGTGTTTTTTTTTTTTTTTTTTTATGTTATTGTTATTTCAAAAACATGTTTTTTCAGGCTGGCCAGCTAGCTCAGTTGGTTAGAGCTCAGCCTTATAAACACCAAGGTCATGGGGTCCTGATCCCTGTACCAGCCAGCCACCAAAAAAAACAAACAAAAACATGTTATTTCTTAGTTCATTAAAAGGCCCAAAGCAATGAGCAGACCAACGCCCACACTCCATGTTCTGGCCTTTTCACCCTCAAAAAGTACCTGATTACTCAGGGGAAGGGTCTTTTCTGGGCCTACATGCCAGCAAGCAACTAAAGAGTGACAGAGGGCGCTTGGGACCTCCCACTGGGCAAGGATAGGACCATGTAAGCCTCAAAATTAATGAATGCAATGCACTGAAACACATCGGATATACAACCCTGAGCTCCATATGTTACTCAAAGGAAGAGATCCCATCTGTGACCCCTGGGGGTACTCCTTGAGCTGGAAAGATCAATTCCTGGTGGTCCTGAATGCTGAATAGGCGGTGTTTCAAACAACCAAGCAGCCTGGATGACAAAAGAAAACTCCTCCTGATAGAAAAATTCCATACAATAAAAGTGGGAGAAAAGCTGGAATTAAGGACAATTACCATTTTGGAATCCCTACTTAAATGATGGAGCCACTGGATGACAATGGGGATCTGTACAAGGGAAGAGAGAGGCTGTCATTCTCCAAATCCCCAAACAACTGGGGCCTCGTGGGAACAAGACACCCAGAAATACACATATAAGGCATCAACTCAGATGTATTCCGCTGTTTTGGTCTAGCACCCAGCTCGTGAGAAATAAGTGGCAGGCCGGAGTGAGTTAGGCAACAGCTCAGCAGGCGGCTCCATGTGGAGGGAAGGTCCACTGAGCTGTTCCTTTAACAGGCTGTGAGTGGCCTGAGGGGAGAAAAGACTGTTAGTTGCATCCTGATCCAAATATGCCAACTATCAGGAAAAAAGTGTTGAAGGAGGGCTTCCCATT